CAGATAAATACTGCAAGTAATCAGCATGGGAAATTCTGTAAACTCTCGAAAAGAGTGATTTATTTTATAACTCCCTCCTTTCAGGCTGCCTCTGTTTTTCTCAACAGGAGACTTTGTTGTAATTAAAGCAGAGAAAACTGGACAGCAGCAAAAAACATCTGACTTGTGGCTCTTAAAAGCACAGGTTTTGTAGCATGTACCACCCCCCAGTGGGCAAAAAACTCTGTAGTAAACTCACAGCGAGCTTTGATCTCCAGAAATAAAGTCAATATATTTTATAGCAAGAACAAAATAAAGATGAGTTTCTGGGTTGGGGTTTTTTGGTGTTTGTTTTGGTTGGTTGTTTTTTTTCCCTCTGTCACCAGTAGCTAAAAGTTGTCAGATATTGTGCAAGGCAATGGTGACTAATCAAAGCAATTGCTGGAGTTCGCAAACTTTGCAGTTGCAGTTATTTGAAGTGGCTTCAGTTGGGAGATGGCCATCTTTGTCTCCTTGTAGCAGGAAGCATGGATGCTAATGGTTAGTTAGCTCTTAAGTTTTTTCCTTAATCACTTCAAAGCACAGGAATGCATGGAAGAATTAATATGTGATTGCTTACATTTATTTTTAATAAGCAGCCAAATACCACTCAGGGCAGGAATCTTGAGAAGTGTTCACTACATACCTTTTGGCATCACTCTCTTCTGCCTTTCAAAAGTTATTAGAATCCTAACATACTTAGAGCTTCGCATTTTTTCTAATTTTTTGAGGAGCAAACTCAGTAATCAGGAGGTGAGCAAACAACTGCTTTAAAAAGGAAAGGAACAAAACTACTGGAACTTTATCTAGTGTTTAAGTAATGTTTTTACACGTGAGGAGTTTTATGCCAGAAACTCCCTATCAGGTATAATTCTACCTAAACTTGTCGAGGGGAAAAATAGATATTTTTTTTCCCTTAAAACAATGGCAGCATTTGTTCTCTATTATTTAATGCCCAGACAAGTTACTTCAGCAGCAGCTCTCAAAAGAAAACCTAGAAGCCATAATTAGCTAAACTCAAAGAGCACTAAAACACAAAACAAAAATCCTTTGCAAAAAAGACTCCCCCTCAAAGTGTTTTCTTAACATGCAACCTTTCCTGCAGCAGAGTAGTCAAAACAAGAGAGTGAGAAGGAATAGAGTAATAGTCTGGGTCTTTTCAACCCAGCATCTTCAAAACTAAGAAAGATTTTAGAAGTAAACTTCAGAAGAGAACCACTTGTAGTTCATTTCCATCCTCTACAGCTAATACAGGTTTGGCTGATCTTAGGTGTGGAGTTCAAGCTTTTACTCAGAATTCATTCCTAAGTCAGATTTACTTGCATTTGAGGGAAGATCACATACAAATTTGCATTTTTTAGGACACTTGAGTTAGATTTAATAAGACACAAGCTGTATTATTCCTACTGCACAAGAAGTGGGAGCAAGTTTTCTGCACGTAACAAAAAAAACAAAAAAAATTTTGCCAACATGCAGTGATACAGCCTGACTGAAGGGCTCACTCTCACTTTAACAAACTCCTTTGCATTTTTTACCCCTTGGAAAGACAGCTAAAGGACCTTCTGCTTGCCTAGCGCCAAACAAAAGACTGGGGCACCTTCCTGAAATATGATGATCGTGGAAATTGCAGCTCCTAGACAGGGTGCTTAGAAAGCATTTTGCTGTCACTATCAACTAACCCTGAGTAATACACTTAAAGAAAACAAAGTGTGGACATTGTTTTAAGTCTAGATTAACACTGTGGAACCTCTTTTTTTAAAAAAAAAAAAAAACGTTGGTGAAGCTATTTAAGCTGCAGCATGACCTCTGTAAGCACAACTGACATTATAAGCAGTAGATGGACTTTGCAAGTATTTTTAAAAATAAGCACATTCTGTGATTCTGATAGGTTTCAGATTCTAAAGAAATACAGAGCTAGTTCTGGAATAGAAGTACACTGGTTAAGAAAATTGGCTTATCAAGTATGTATATTCTAGTGGTGGCTTTGAGTAATAGTTTTGTCTTCTACATCTAAAAATACCTAGTAGTTTCCCTTTCCTCTGTTACTTTGATGGTAAGAAAGAAGCCAGTGAGCTACCAGAGTTCCTGCTGGAGAACACAGAGGTAGATTAGAAATTCAAGTAAGCATTGTGTGACCTCAAGTGAGGCAGATGTTGATTTTATTCATATTTTATCACAGCTTGGAAAGAAATTTCTACACTGTTTTTAGAAAAAAATCCCAACTTTTCAAATACCAAATATACCAAAACAATTAATTTTGTTAAACCACTGCCTAACTACAGTACAGTGAGTGCAGCTGGACTCCATACTTTAGTGTAAATACAATGTTCTTCTTAGGTCCTTTTTTTTTTTTTTTAATAGCTCAACTTATGTTGAACATTTTAAAATAAGATGTCCCCTTAGCTGTAGCACAGCAGTAAGTCCACATGGAAGGCCCACACATTTCTGCTATCTCTAGTAATTCACTTGCTTACACAGTCCCAGGAAAACTAATTTAACCATGTGGTTCAGGAAAACATTCAACTCTGAATAAAGATCAAAAAGGCTGCTGTTCAGCTTTTCCAATGTTACTTTTGTTACCAAAAAAACAAGGAGTGATCTTTGCATTTAAAAAATAATTCTAGTACAGAGTTTCTAAAATCTGGTCTGCTCAGAAATAATGGCTTCTTTCAAAACCATGTGTCCATGAAGCCTCCCAATCTGATGCTGCAGAAACCTGGACACAGTGTCTGTACCAGTGGGGGTCACTTTTCATCCTGCCGGATCAGCTCTAATGACTTGGTGTCAGGGAATATTTAGAGACAGCTCAAGAAGGGGAAAGTTGGAGCATGGCAGCAGGATTCCCTTCTTCTCTGTAGACAGATCACTGGAGCCTTTGATATGCAAAAACATTGTTTTCAGCTATAGCTTGAGATATAAAAGGGAAGTGCAAGATATCAAACAATCAAGACCTGAAGAAAACTATTCTAAGTTTAGAAAAGGGAGTGGGGGGTATAGTCTTAATCCACATTTTTGAAACAGTGTCGTCTTCTCCAAAGAGACCTTTTCTTTTTCTTGCTCTTGTTTTCATGTAATTTTGAGAGAAGGGATAAAAAAAATTCCAGGAACTTAATGAGCTTTAGTGCTTTCATTTTAATCCTTCACATTACTGCTATTGTAATAGTGGCAATAAATGAAGAGATGACTATCAAATGAAGCACAGCGGAAACAGTTTATGTGCTAGAAAGGTAAAACAAATGAACTTTCTGTGTGTGCATGGATCTATGTAATGTATGCATACTAGAGCCAACGTTTTGCTTAATGCTAGCAAGTTTTTTACAGCTCAGAGTTCTAAAGAAAATTTATGATTTTAAGCACTTAAAAGTTATTGTAGCCTTCAAAGGCCTATTAAAGGAATTTATATTCCTATTTCACCATACTCTTCCAGAAAATACCTTCTATCACGACTTCACATTAGTTCCTAAGAGACACCATTTTTTTTTTCCACAGCTGTTAAGTTGTTGTTTATTTCAAAGTTTTAGGAATAGGGCCTGGGCTTCTTTCCCCAAACACCTGAATATTACAGAATAAGAAGACTAGACACTGGAGGAATACGGAGCTTTTTTTGTTCCATTTCATAATGATTATATAATTTACCCAAATTACATAAGTTACCAATAAACACGCATTCCCTTCTATTCTAAAATGTGTCCACACAGATTGAGTTTTTGCCTTAAATAAAGCATACATAAAAATACTTATGCCACAGTGGGGATCTCTCATTTTGAGTTCTTTTTTACATTGGACAACTGCTGAAAACAAGATGCTGAAAACAAAGCTCAGAGGAGCTCAAAAGCAGAAGCAGGAGAGAAGGGTCTTTTCCACTCCCTCGCTGGGTAGTCACACCATCTCTCAAAAGGGGGACTTTGGTGGGTTTTTTTAAATGGTTAACATTTTTCTATGAAAAAGAGCAGCAGGATTTGTATCTATTTAAATATATCACTGCATATTCTGTGTTGCTGTAAGGAGTATGACTGCTCTGTTTCATAATAGACCTGCTACAAATTGCAAAAGACAATTTTAAAACAGAGAGGGTTTGTGTTTAGGTCAAGTATTTTACGGAGGACCAGAAGCTGCTCTAGTTTTGCTCCCAGGAAGCAAGCATTACTCAGCACGCTGTTCCTGCCAAGCATTTTGGTTCCAATGATTGTGCTCGGTCCCTTGGACAAACGTCAAGTCACAAAAGGGAAAAGCAAGTAAACGTTAAGGATTTTTTTTAATTTCAGATTTAACCATTTTTATTTCAGACATGCTACCTACAAGCTCTCAGGGGGCTTGGTATCTCACTGGATACTTTATGCAGTAGTGATACAAAGCAGCCCAAATTAAGACTGCTGTTTAAAAAATAATTAGTGTTCTATAAGAAATACAAACAAAATATTTTTCTCCTTCTTAGAAATTTTACAGACTAAACCCACCTTATGTATTGCCAAAAAGCAGACACAGATGCCTGGCTACTCCCTAGCTCAGAATCAACATGCTGCAAATGGGAAATATTCATGTAATATTTTGGCAAAAACGCTTTGCCTTTCACCCGGTAACGAGTGAACAGTAATTAGCACCCTTTACACTTAAAACCAAGAAGATGATCATCATCTATCTCTATTTACCAGGAACACAAAGCAAGCAACCATTTTGGCCTCCTCCAAGGAGGTAACACTGGCACTTGAGATCAGATGAAAAACATAATTTACAAATATTTTGTTACTCTGCCTTTATTTTTCTATTGGAACAAGAGAAAATACAGTTCCAACAAAACTGCAGTAACATGAAAGTACACAGAAAAACATTTTTTGAAAGAGCTCTGTGGATTTTGCTGAAATACCGATGCTTTGGGGAAACACAGTGTGCTACTCATGTACAGGGGATTCAACTCCTAAAATTAGTGTGCACGAGTTGTTATTAATTCCATTTTTTTGTTTTTACTTTTGCAGGACATTAAGAGTTCGAGGAAAGCTTTCAAAGGGGAGTTTTCTGGGAAGGAAATCATATTTTTGTGGGTTTTTTTTATAATGAAGAAAACCATCTGAATTGCCTGATGTTTCTGTGGTAAGGTAACTTGCATTCTTGCAGCACAGGAGGAATTCTTTCCTGCATTACAAATTTGGAAGAAAAAGTGAGAGTTGGAAAATGGTTCTCTGAAAGAGGTGTGGATGTATCAGGATGTAGCTACTGTACAAAGGTCATACTTGGATAATTCTGGATAGGAAAAAGCATCCCTTTCCTGACCTCCTGAAGAGGCTGCAATCCTTCGAGCCTCAGCATAATGAATGGTTTCTATCACGTGGCACTAAAGTTCCCTCCTCTGACTACTACGCTGCACAGAAGAGTTTGTAAGAGTTACAAAGAAAGTAATTCCTGCTAAAGGCATTAAACCAAACAAAAGAGGCTCTTCATTCACAGACTTTATATGAGGACAAAAATAGAAGGAAGCTGAAGCTTTTCTACACTGGGGCCTGGTGTGCTTATGTACCATGATAAATCTTGGTTGGAATGCTCATTGAGAATCGTGCCAGGAGCCAGGAAACACACACCACCAACAAGGACCATCTGAGTAAACACCATCGAGAAAAAACTGCTTCATGGAGTAAACTGTAAGAGTGACTGGGCAGAAAGACATCCCTTTACTGGATATCCTCAAGCACAAAATTTACTCATACCTTTAAATACGGTAGGATCAATATTAATTTATTTTCCTTTTCATGCCTCTGAGAATAAAGTTTAATTAATATATGAACACATAAGAGAAAAGGTCATGACACCGCTTAATGCATAGGTCATCTTGCAGAAGTTCTCACAACCCTAATTACAATGGTAATTGAATTATGTTGTCTTAAAAGCTATAAAAATGCTAATTACGTTAGCTCGGTGTACAAACACACTACCAATGCAAACTACAATCTCAGTCTCAAGAGTTAAGTTTAATTTATAATACGATGGGAAAATGTGGTTAAACCTGCCAAATAGACTCTTATGAGTGTGCTACTTAGTAAGACGACTTTTGAGAATGACAAATATTTAAACATTAAATTAAGCATGTAATGAAATATTTCATCCAGTGAACTAGAAAGCCATAGCTCTACCAGTTACCTGCCAGTTGTAACATTCACCTCTCTGAACATTCACTTAAGCTTGAAAACCAAGCTAAATAGTCCAAGCAAAATAGTCCACAGTGTTTCTAAGTTACACACTGTTGAGTTGAGCACTGGGAAAGACTTGGGGAAAAGTCTTTATTGGCCCTCACTCTTTTGTCTGCATTTTATGCTTTGCCTTTAGGGAATTTTTTAACTTCTCCAACAGATACCACTAGACTTGTGGGTTTAGTAAGGGTTTTATAGTTCACTTAAGGGCTCCTGAGGAAGTTAGCTGGCTTAGGAATTACTTCTTATCTTTCAGATATAGAATGATTTACTTGAACTCTGGTGTGACTTCAGTTCTGTACTTATCTGGTATCTGTGAACAAAGATTGTCGGTACACATGAAATGTGAAGGAATCCTTAGAGTCTTGTTGCTTAAGCAAAATAATTCACAGATCAGGCATATTTGATTATATTATTTTCAATCACTATGCAGAATAACCTATTAAGTTAATTGAATTAGTACAAGTAGTAGAACTATTGATGTAAGGAGAAGACAGTAAAATGCATCTACATGATTGAATTTTGGTGTAATTTGTGTTTCAGATGTCTTCTGTAATGTTGAAGTTGTTTTTTTTTTTATTGTGGTTTTTTCAATGATGATCTGGATAATTTTGTTTGTTTGGTTTTTTTAGATTGTTGAAGATCAGAACTGTATAGAAATCTCATCATTCCTGACCATGATTAGTGTTACCTGGAGCATCTTCCTAGTTTGGACTAAAATAGGGCTGTTACTTGACATGGCACCTTATTCTGTTAGTGCCAAACCATGCCCTTCAGTATGTCGCTGTGATATGGGTTTCATATATTGTAATGATCGCGATTTGACGTCTATTCCTACAGGAATCCCAGAGGATGCAACTACCCTCTTCCTTCAGAACAATCAAATAAATAATGCTGGGATTCCTTCAGAACTGAAGAACTTGCTTAGGGTGGAAAGAATATATTTATACCGCAACAGCCTAGATGAATTCCCCACTAACCTCCCTAAGTACATTAAGGAACTGCATTTGCAGGAGAACAATATAAGGACCATTACTTATGATTCACTTTCAAAAATTCCTTATCTGGAAGAACTGCATTTGGATGATAATTCTGTTTCTGCTGTTAGCATCGAGGATGGAGCTTTCCGGGACAACATCTATCTCAGACTTCTTTTTCTTTCCCGAAATCACCTTAGCACCATTCCCTGGGGTTTGCCTAAAACCATAGAAGAGCTACGCTTGGATGATAATCGTATTTCCACAATTTCTGAGCTGTCCCTTCAAGACCTTACAAATCTAAAACGCCTTGTTTTAGATGGAAATCTTCTAAATAACCATGGATTAGGAGACAAAGTCTTCATGAATCTAGTCAATCTTACAGAATTGTCATTGGTTCGCAATTCACTCACAGCTGCACCGGTGAATTTGCCGGGAACAAACCTAAGAAAGCTTTATCTCCAAGAAAACCACATCAACCGTGTGCCACCCAACGCTTTCTCTTACTTACGGCAATTGTATCGACTAGATATGTCCAATAATAATCTCAGCAATTTACCTCAGGGTGTCTTTGATGATCTGGACAACATCACTCAACTGTTCCTTCGCAACAACCCTTGGCACTGCGGGTGCAAAATGAAATGGGTACGTGACTGGTTACAGTCATTGCCTTTGAAAGTAAATGTACGTGGACTGATGTGTCAGGCACCAGAAAAAGTACGTGGCATGGCTATCAAAGACCTCAGTGCAGAACTGTTTGACTGTAAGGATGATAGCGTGATAAGCACCATCCAAATCACTACTGCAGTACCAAACACGTTATACCCGGCCCAGGGACACTGGCCCATTTCTGTGACCAAACAACCAGACATCAAGACTCCCAACCTAAACAAAAACTACAGAACCACAGCAAGCCCGGTACGCAAAATCATTACAATATTTGTGAAATCCGTAAGCACAGAGACTATTCACATCTCCTGGAAAGTTGCACTACCAATGACTGCTTTGAGACTCAGCTGGCTCAAGATGGGTCACAGCCCTGCCTTTGGATCTATAACTGAAACAATAGTTACAGGTGACAGAAACGACTATTTGCTCACGGCTCTTGAACCAGAGTCGCCATACCGTGTGTGCATGGTTCCCATGGAAACCAGCAACATCTATCTCTCTGATGAAACACCCGAATGCATTGAGACCGAGACGGCACCTCTTAAGATGTACAACCCTACCACCACCCTCAATCGGGAGCAGGAGAAAGAACCTTACAAAAACTCCAGCTTGCCCTTGGCCGCCATCATCGGCGGTGCGGTGGCGCTGGTGGCCATAGGGCTGCTGGCCCTGGTCTGCTGGTACATCCACAGAAACGGGTCCCTGTTCTCCCGGAACTGCACCTACAGCAAGGGACGCCGGAGAAAAGATGACTATGCCGAAGCGGGAACCAAGAAAGACAACTCCATCCTGGAAATCAGGGAGACTTCTTTCCAGATGATACCAATAACCAGTGACCAAGTGTCCAAGGAGGAGTTTGTAATACACACCATTTTCCCACCTAACGGCATGAATCTGTACAAGAACAGCCACAGTGAAAGCAGTAGTAACAGGAGCTACAGAGACAGTGGTATTCCAGATTCAGATCATTCACACTCATGATACTGAGGGACATGAAAGACTGGTTTGGGTTTTGTTGGGTTTTCTGGGTTTGTTTTGTTTTTTAAAGAAAACAAGAAAAGACTGACTTAACAGTTGCTGTTCTACTGCAAAACACTGGATTAAAAGACTGACAAAGCAATGTACTGTACATTTGCCATATAATTTATATTTAAGAACTTTTTATTAAAAGTTTCAAATTTCAGGCTACTGCTGCGATTAATGTAGTGGGGATACCTGACCACAATTCTATATTTTAGTATTTTTTAGTAATTTGTACTGTATTTTCCTTGCTAATATTGAAGTTACAGACCATTTAACTTTTGTGTTCTACTGAGTAAGATGACTTGTTGACTGTGAAAGTGAATTTTCTTGCCGTGTTGAGCAGTCAGAACATTCATCTGAGATCCTTGTAAGTGTAAGCACAGACCATTTTTCACTTTGGTATCAATAAAATAATGTTGAACCTGGCAAATCAGGAAGATCAAAAAGTGGTTACAAAAGCTCACAGAACTTCCAGTGTTGGGTCTATTAAATCTGTAAACCACAACAATATTCAATAAACAAAAATATGTGTAGTAATGGGCAATATCAGCTGTCTGGATATATCCATTCAACAGTGGTGAAATCCAGTTTAAATGAGAATAAGCAAATTGATGACATGCATGAAACTGCAGCTTTTGGCAAGTGTTAAAAAAAATCTAATCCCTAGAGGAAAGCATAATCAAATTCCTAACAAGGAATTTAAAAAAAAAAAAGGAAGGAAAAAGTGGTAAGCTCTACAAACCAAGAGGGTAGATACAGTTTAGGAATAGATTTTTGGTTATCAAAATCAGTGGTCTGTATATTACAGAGAGGCATTTGGGAGACAAGGGCAGGAAGACAGAGACAACACTTTGAAACTGCTTGGAAGAGGAAAAGGGCTGAAAGTGCAGTTTCACAAGAAAAGAGAGAGGACAAAATCCAAGGCAATAAAAGCAAGGTCTCAAAAACTGTGGTCCCAAAGGTGAGCAGACAAATGGGGAATGCATTCTGAAGCATATGCCAGTCTGTGTTCAGTATACTGCTGTTACAGTCAGGAATACTGCCCATTACTGTCACAGTTATCCAGAAATTCCTTGGTAAATCTGTAAGGTAACATGTTTCTTTCTGCCTTCCTGCTGAACTATGAGCTATTTCATGTTTAAACACCAAGCCACTCTTTGTTGCAATAATCATTCTGTTTCTTCAACTAAAAACCAAAGTGCTTTGTACGCCCTTTGGCCAGTCTTGTGTGTGCCTTGATCCAACGCTACATGTATCAAGCTTTTAAAAACTAAGAAAAAAGGAAATAATAAAATACCCACTTTTTCATACATAACTTAACTATGAAAAATACTGGTCTTATTCATGAATGAAGTTGAAAAACTACTTCAAAATTATGTTGCACCTCTGCAGTGCACTGATAAGAAACCCACTTAGAAGCTACTACTTTTCTGGTCATGAGCTTCACCTCTCTGTTCAGGTTAATAGTATTACACTTGCAGGTTTTCTTCATTATTAACTACTTGGAAAAAAAGTTTTCACAGCAGTGAACAGTGTCAACAATGAAAGGGAGGGAAGGTATGGAGTTAAAGCCCTCTGAAATACAGTTTTTAAAAGAAACAGCAAATGAAAAATATTTAATATTTCAGACTGTCTCAGACAAGAAGGAAAGTGCACCAAATGCAGCTCAGTTCTGTGAGGATTTTAGTAGTGCTTGGCCTGTTTCCGTAAAAGTAGTAAAGAATGAGAGATGAAAAGAAGGAAGAGTGACCAACACTGATGGTTTCAGCAATCAGCCTGCAAATCAATATCCTACCAGGGATCCATCTAGGTGCGCAGATCCAGAATTTCTCGTAATACACATTTTTTTAATCCTCATTTTCCAGATGTGCCCAGGCTAGTTCCTCTCCAAACTCCCTGTACCATGGAATTGTTGACATGTCACTTTCAAAAATGTCTCCTGCAGTTTCCTGAGCAGTGGAGGCGCAGCACTGTGCTTCCTTACTGACCTTATACAAACCATGTCTCCTTTGCATGGAGCATTGAATGGATCCATGGAAAGGGGGGTGAGTGTAACACTGAACAGTGATGTGCTCAGCTCAGTGTAATGCACCAAACAAGACTGTTTTCCTCTGGTGTCCATCTGTGTCCATTGGCACCATCAGGTGCCAGTCTAGGGAAGGGCAAGAAAGCCAAGACTGAGCATGTGGAGCCTTATTATGTTGATGTGCAAAAATCTTCCCAAGCAGTGAGCGGAAAACAAAAAGGACACAGAGGGACTGGATGGACCTGTTCTTGGTCTGCACTCTCACAGGGGATCCCTGATATCTGAGCTCACTTAGTGACTGGGTCACTGGCCAGAGAGCCTAGTTCTTTGCCAGCAGCTCTCCAGTAACAAAATTAAACATGTTTTGTTGGATTTTCAAGCTATTTAAAAACCTCTCTCCCAGTTGGCTCCAAATTTATGTTGTGAAAAAGGTAAAAAACAACACTCCGTGAGTACTTTGCCTTCTGAGGTATCTAAGCCAGAAGTGCCTGGTAATGGTATGTACCAACTCCAGTGATGCCATGCAAGGTCATAAGGGTATAAAAAACATTGTCATTTGAAGAGATAATTGTATGACAGTCTTCAGAAATGTGACTTTTCATGTGACATTGTAGTCTGTGAGGCAGTAGGGTACAAATCCAAAGCAACTTCAGTAAATCAATCCAGTTGTTCCTACTTCACCTTCTACCAGCAAGAGTGAAAACCTGGACAGGGCTCTGTCTTCCTCAGGAAACCAGGTCAGGCTTGCAGGAGAGCTGGTGTCCTCTTATCACATGTGATGACAATGCAAAAATGGCACACTGGAGTGTACAAGACCTTCCTCGAGTTCTACAGCAAATTTAACTCCACACACGTAATGTTGAAATTAATTTGGCAAGTGAAAGATTGCTTTCAAACTAAACTGTGTTTTTTCCTTTGGCTGTTCATACAAATTTCTATTCCTCTCCATGTCAGGACCATCTCGTCAAGACTGCTGCTTATCCTAGTGCTGCAGCTGCTGCATGCAATGCTTCCCAGCACCATCATAAATCCCTTCTGTTAGACAGGTATATATGCAGGCAAAGCGGATTACTACAGTAGGCAGTTTATTCAACACGTTTATCAAAATAACTAATCCACATTAAATTTATCTCAGTTTTCAAAGTCCATGTTATTTCTGTGTACTGTTCAATATTAACTGTGGAGTGAGGGATGGGATTTTTTTCAATGTTGCCTAAACCTATGTGTAGAGTTCACTTGATCAGTACTCTCCAAATAGTATGCTAAGTATCTTTTACATTCTTTATATTGTCCCCTTTTTTAATTTATATTGCTGTCCTGAATTGCCCACAGTTTTGTTTTAACCTGAAAACTGTCTCCATAAACACCCTGGTACTTTGGAAACTGGATTAATTTTGTCTCATCCTGGCACCTTCAAGAACTAAGTCCAGAAGTTGGACTCAATGATCCTGATGAGTCCTTCTAACTCAGTATATTCTATGATTCTGTGAGAAATTTGCTTCATTTATAAGCTGTTATTTCCTAGCCTTCTACCAGAGCCTGATATGCAGCAACTGTTGGGGTTTTTTGATTGTTTTTTTCGTCTGGCTTTAACAGTACCAAATTCAAAGTATTATGGTCTTGGAACACAGTTTCCATCTCTCCTGCTAATGCACTAGTGAGCATGCAAGCTATCTTGTGCCAATGCTGTACATATTGAATGTAGAGCAGCAAATGCAATAAAGCAAGAGCAAAAGTAATAAAGGCTTATTTGCTATTAAAATAATTTACTGATGACATAATGCACTAAAGAATATATATAGACTTCCCTGCTAAGAGGATGAAATTTTGCACATTCACCTGCAGCTAAAGTTGGATAAGATCTTCAGAAGTGAGCTGGCAGATGCCATCTCTCTGGATATATCCATGTTTGTGTGAGATAGTTTGGGGCAGAACCATAATTCAAACAGGCACCCTCCACTTTCAAAACACCTTAACCTTACTTCCAAATCCATATATTGTGTCAGCATCACCTTGGGTCTGATCTTTGTTTAATTAACTGTTTCTTTACTGATGCCAGAACAGCCAAAGCTTCAAGCCATGGTCCAGCACTTAACTATGAGTGATTTTTTTTTTTTTCAAAGCATGAAGTTACTTCATACCTGAGAAGTTTTCATCTTCCAAACTAGCCCAGAGTGGTTCCATCAGAGAGAACAAGCTCATTGACTGAATTCACACATCAGAATTTTACTTTTTTTCTTCATAAATGAATTTAATTTTGGGGTGAGGGATAAGAGTCCCACCCTTGTGATGAAATTAGAGCTTTTTCAAGAACTCTGAAGGTACAACCATGACACAGGTATTAAATTCTGGACATAATTGTTTTAAAAGTTTTTACTTTTAGTAAACATGAATGTTTGATTTAGTAGTTATTTCATCAAATCATTTCCTGCTCCTCTCAAAAAACCGAGATAAAAGCAGAACATGGATCTCAGTTTCTAAAAGGGTGGCAAAGCAGATGCTAAAAACAAGCATCACCTTGTGTTCTCAGCACAGGACATCAAGTTAGGTACTCACAGCATGGCAGTCTTTAAGTGATACCTGAGGAACATTTCTCCCCTGGGGGGAAACCAAAACACTTCAAAGGGGTGTTAAATAAACATTCTCTGGATTTTTGATGGTCAAAGGCATAGAACACACATTTTGGCAACCAAGCAAATGTCCGTCGTGCATGGACATCATAAACGCCCTATGCCTGAAACCTGCAGATCAGGACTGCAGATGTGAATTTCCCACCTTCAACAGCTTTTCAGAGCCCCTTTTTGTTTTCTTAGGGTGAAAATGTAATGGAGTCATAGTATAAAACTCCTCAAGATTAAAAACGTGAGCTGAAAACATCTTTTTGATATCTGAAGCTGGACCTTCTAAGCTTAGCAAGAACACTCATAAATAAGTTATAAAAATAGAAGGGTCTTAATAGGGCTAATTAAATAATCTGACTTGTTCAAGCTGGTTGATAGTGTTCATATAGGCTGATACTCTGTCCTGAACAGCCCTCTTAAGTCATCAAAAACAGGGAGCAGATCATAGCCAAGTGCTAGCACACACTCCCATCCCCTTGCTGAGCTTAAGGAATATCTATCTATAGACAGAGCTGTGGAAGGTCTAATTGTTCGAACTCGAGGGGCTGCACCATGTTCTTTAATCACTAACTGTGGGAACATCATTTACAAAAGGATGAAATTATGCACATTATGCATAATTTAGTGTCCCTGATTTATGCAAAATATTTAAAAATTTATTTAGCTCAGAACTGCACATCCGATTTATGTAATACTGCTTCCTCCAGTGGCCTTAGTCCCTGATAAATGCCTACTAGGCAACTGGCTTTCCACATGAAAACAGATTTTTTTTGTGGATGTGGGGACGAGTTTTATTTAGTATTTTTTCTTGTCTTTTTTTTTTTTTGTAATTAAGAACAATAAATAATTTTTCTGCAAATCTTTCAATTTTTAATGGGATACAAAAGTGAATTGGTTGATAATTTTAAATGAATGCCCTAAGACATGGCAGGTGCTGGTGCGATAAAAGATGTCCCCACAAACTCTGCTTTCCCATCTCACCTCACAATAATGCTTTCCAGGGTTTTTAACTTGAGGTCTTGCTTTCATTGCAAGGATTGCAAAAAGCTAATGAAATCTGTTTTCACTACTATAAGATCGAAACTGGGGAATTTTAAATTTTGAGATGCACACGAGCAGTTGTATTTACGTAACGCAGGCATGGCTTAGAAGGAGCATCTTTCAGGCAAGGTTACACACAGGAGACCACAGCAAATCTTTGTCCTCCTCTGAGCCTGCTGTATGAACAAAATTTCCTACATTACTAGTCCAAGCATCAGCAGCTTCAACAGGCAGTAAGAGAAAGCCCCCTTACCTTACACATCAGCTACCAGTTTATGTGTAAAAAGTAGAGTTAATTTGGCTTCCTTCCAGTTGTTTTTCCATGGATTCAGTGAGGAAATACAGAAGTAACAGTTTTTAAAAAGGTAAACCCTTCTACCAAGGAATGCTAACAATGCAGAGGATTTAAGAAATTATGTTTTAACCCTTATTCCAGAATTACATCCCAAATACAAGCCTGTGTAAACCCTGCACACTTGCTGATTGTGTGTATAATATGCTCACCCCCTGTTTAAGCTACATTTAATGGACACAAGTTATTTGCATTGCACTCCTCCTCAAACTATTTTCATTTTCTATGCAGTTTGAGCAACAATGTAAGAATGTGGATAGGTACAGAATCTGTGGTATTTTGTTTACCTGGTTTCAGCAATCTTCTGAAGAAACATTAAGACACTTATTTCCAAAGCCTGATGGAATAAATTACTGC